ACCTTCTTGACTTGACCAAATCTACTAAGGTATACTTTTACCACTATTTCCATATTTAGAACATTCCATCATGCTTTCTCCTCCAAATGTTGAAGTTTTTGGACAAAACAAATAAAGAATGATCATTTGAGGCATGGATGGGCTAGTCTTATTCAAGACAGACTCCAGAGCAGAAAGAACTATTTTGCCCTCATAAACAATGCAGTAAGGTCTGTCTTCTTACAAAGATTTTCTTGAGCCTCTTCCAGCTAATATGATGCAACCATGAAGAATAATCTTACAGGAAGGAAATATAGGGAAGTAGATACCATTGGTTCAAAGAGCTAAATTTTAAAAGATCATAAGACAGACCTTATGTGGTTTGTTGCACTGCAGAAGAGATTAGTTTAGTCCCAAGAGAGAAGCTGCTTTACTTCAGCATCTAGATTTGGTCTTCTAACTAGTCTCATGTAAATGTGTGTCATAATCATGGTGTTGCCAGACTGAACTAAAACTTGCATTAGAGACAACTTGGTGGTTCTCCAGGTGCGATTCTTTAAGGCAGACCTTCAAAATTTTATACTCAAGATTGCAGGAGGAGGTTCTATTGTTACAAGGGCTTCCATCACAACTAAAAAAAGAGACTAAAATCACTCTGTAGGACCTTTGCATCTCTTATTGTGAACAGCTCCAGACTGCTAGTAGAAATCCTTCAAACTATTTTGTTCAGTCTTGTTCATGAAATCGTCTGTATGCATAAGACTAGAAGACCCATGGATTACATCTGAAGCTGGATACATCATAACATGTTCTTTGAGTTTGAAGGTCAGCATCTGAACTTTTCCAAGCTGACAAGGTTGCATCCAACTTACAATTTGAGATGCCATCAAGAATCCTTCTACCCAAATTTTATCTTTTTTGTATACCTATTCATTTTCTTGAGGCATGAAATAAGAAAAAGATCTAGAGAATCCAGCCTATTCTGAGGAATAGAAATTTTTGTCTGGACTTCTTAATATTGAGAATGAAGTAGCTAGAATGGAAAATATCCTCCACAACACCATTTATTTGGAAGGCATCAAACTATTACTGTCAAACTAGCTAACTGGTCAATGAGGAGGATTTAGACCCATTTCCCTCTTAGCTCACAAATAAAAAAAAAAAAAGAGTCCATTCTCTAACATCTTTGTTGTGAGCAAAAACAAAAAGGACTCACCAGTCCTTAGAAAACTTTGGTTAATCCCTGTAATCAGCTAATACCTCACTTAGACATTTCTTAATGCAAAATTCCATGTATGTGATTTTGAGAATCGGAAGATTATTGCTTATCTGGAACCTAAATCAGTTACAGTCTGGCTGAGCTAGCTGTTATGGCTTTTGAGGACACCACATGGAATATCCTTCTGTAACTCCTAAATGGAGTACTTTGACCTTTGTGGTGAAGTAGAACGCAAACGGAACAAAGGAACTCAACAAATGGTTCTATTTAGAGAGCAAAGACCTGCACATTTTGGTTTCCTATGAGAGAAGAGAGGTCAAGAGAAAAATTACTTGCTGCTTTCTCAATTCCAGGTTTAACAGCTACAACTGGAATGGATAATGTGGAAGTCCTGAACTGCATCTTCATCTGTGCTGAACAAAGAAAATATAGCCAAAGTCCAAAAGGAGAACAATAAACTTCCCACAGCATCAGCTAGGACTGAATTATACTTAGAATATAAAAAGAAGAGAAGTATAGCCAAAAAGTCTCAGACTAAAGGAAAAACACAGGATCCAGAATTCAAGGTTACTACCTGGCAAAAAATAAGATTAATACAGTCTCAGAGTCATCCTTTTTAAATAGTCTCTAGTAATATATTTCTACAATATTTATATTGCCTAATAACAGAATATATTTCTTTCCATACTTGTTTCACAAGGAGAAAAACTAATTCATTAATACACAAAAACAAATGTTATCATTCGAAGTGTAGGATGTTGGTTTAAAAGATATGCTGTATCAGCAATCAGGCACTTTCTTATAACATTTTCTGTAAGACCATAGGGGCAACAATATAAAATTCATTTTTTAGAAAAGACTGTAATCACATTTTAATTTTAATTAGACAGTAATTATGTCTTAGCTGAGCACACTTACATTGAGTTTGACATAATTTTAGGACTTGATCCTGAAAATATTCATGGGAATACCCCTTATTGTACTAATAAGTCTTAAAGACTGAGTGGTTATTTAAACAAGTAGGAAATACCCATGTGTTTGTTAGACTGTAAGGTTGGACACAGTGTTGGGGCACTGTACGAGTACAATATGTAATATGCATCAGACTAATCTAATTTAATTGTATTATATTTCCATCTGAGATCTTACTATTTTGCAAACTCTTAACTTACAATACATATGTTACTAGACAAATACTGCATACAGATCTCTAGTCAAACAAAAGGTATTACTATTGACTTCTGTTAATTGGCTAACCTGGATGTAGAAGGTTAAAACTTGTAGACACTCGTTTGAAAGAGAAAATTTTTCCTGAATAATTAAAGGTAGAACAACTAGTAAATTCTAGTTCATAGTCCCCTGTGGCTCAATAATAAGCTTCCAAGGTATATTATCTTGAGTTGCATCAGTTAAGTCAACTTAGCTCACAAGATGGCTGCCACCATGTCAAGGAGCTGTACATTTGTATACTCTGACGTGGCTTAAGTGACTTAACTAAGTCACCTTAAACTGAATTAGTACATGTCTATGCACCCCTTGTGTGATTTCCATGGAATACTCATGTGCTCACTTCATTATAACTCATCTTTGGCACATAAGTCTGTACAGAAGTTCTTTTATTCCTACAGGGTTTGCATATATTTAATTGGCACAAATGTGTCAACAGGGATAATCAAATATACACATGTGCATACACATGGCATCTATGTTCCATACAGAAAAAAGAAATTTCCTGCAGAAGTCACACTTATGTTATACTGGCTGCATGATATACATCTGGTTGACACCTCACTCCTAGAAGAAGTATTTAACCAATCAGGCACTGTGCCATCAAAACAGAAACATTTAAGTGTAGGCAGCTAAATCATATATATTCATAAGCAGTGAAGGCAGCGATTCTCAACTGGGAACAATAAAACTTTGCCCGACAATAATGTCCATGCTTACTGTGAAGATCTGCCTTCTCTTATCCAATCTGTGTTGGATTAAACATATTATAAAATAAGGCAATTACCAACTCAGAGCAAGCTAAATCTACGGCTCACTGAACTTGGAATGCTGAAAGTCATTATAAACATCCAACCCCTTAATTGGTTGCAACTCAGAGTCCTTCACAATACAGTAAGACATTTCAGTGGTTGTACTATATTTTATATGAATTTGCTGATTTAATGAAAAAATCTTAGCTATGTTGTAAAATGTTTGAAAATGGATTTAAAATGATAACTTGAGTGCTGTTTTTCTGATAAAAAATGTCAATGGGTGGTCCAGAATTTGCCAAAATAGGAAGTACACTGCTAAACTGTTACCTAAACCAAATAAAAATTAACATTAAAAACATGAACTGAAACCAAATTCTTCATTTTTAAGTGAAGCCATAACAGAAATACTTCTGGTGTAAAAATACTATATTATATATATAAATTGTAAGGTGCATTTAGACCCTGATCCTGCAAACAGATCCAGCTAGAAAAGTACTGTGCTTGCGAAGAATCCACTTGCCCACAGAGGACAGAGGCCTACCTATGAGGAACATCTTATCAGCTCTGTCAACAGTATGGGCAAAGCAAGCCCTATAATCAACACGTGCCTACAGATGAAAGCAGCCTGCTTCCTTCTGCTACAATGCATTAGCACAATAGGGCAATCTTGACCTGTAATGGTAAGATTGCTAAACAGAATGCTACCTGCTATGCATTTTTGCTTCTGTTTGCTATATGACTTTTGGAATACAAAGGCAGGATATGACCCAATGTGTACACACAGGTGAAATCCTGGTCCTGCTTAAGTTAATGACAAAACTGACAACTTCAGTGGGGCCAGGATTTCATGCATAATATACTTACATGTGTTACATATTTAAACAACACTGAGACTGCATTTCTATAGAACCTATATCCTGTCACCTTAAATACTCTGATCCCATGTTTCTTGAGTTGGGGTTTTTATTATTGTTTGCTTTTTTCTGAGCATGATTAACTTACCCTGTGGCAACTTCTGAAAGCCTATCTTGCTCCTTTTTGTTTTATGCAAGAAAATAAGTGGTAATCTACAATACTTGCAGCTAAAATGTATTCAGCATTACTTAACTGTATTTTTCTCTGCAGTTTAAAGTAAAAAAGCCATTATGACTTTTAAACAGAGCTAAAACAATGGAAGACTACAGAAAACATATGCAGTACTGTTCCCAGCAATGTTACCAGAAACCTCAGCACAATGTTCTACACTAGAACTATTACACTGTGATACTAGTTCTAGTGTAGAACAATGTGCTGAGGTTTCTGGTAACATTGCTGGGAAAAGCACCCTGAAAAACCAAGTATCTGGGTCAAACTGTTTATCTTCCAATACTGTATCGCCTTTTATTATAATGAAACTAGCTTTGACTGTAAATAATTACATATATCTTCAATAGCTTCTAAACACCATGTAACCACAACAGACATTTAATATAATCAAAGCTATATGTTTTGAAATATGTCACTTTGTATTCTTTTTACATATACCATGTGTCTGATGTAGATACACCTTAAAAAAAAAAAGAAAGGAAAACCTGAATATGAATGCCACTGACAAAAATATATACATTTTGATATGTGGTGTGACCTTATAGAGAAAATGCTACTTTTCCATTTAGTATTTAAATAATTTTTGACCTCACTTTTACAAACACTTTATTAGAAGAACCATAATCTGGCCAGCTTCCATTATCCTAAAATACCTGCATCTCAAATTGTCAATTTTAGACAAATTGTAAAAATGTGCATTCAAAGGTTATGAAGTTTTTAAGTGATACTGGCAAACTATTTATGCTTTTTAATTACTGTGTTCTGCTCTTGTGCCTAGGGTACACATCATTCATAGCAAAAGGACTGCTGCACACTCATGAGTGAGCTATACCTGGACCTATCAGAAGCTTACCAAGAGAAAGGCAGTGGCACAATAACCACTTTTCTAAATATATTTTCTATACAAAATATTTCAAGATATAATCCTTATTTTTCTGTACAGTACTCTATCATTTATACAACAATATTCAGTAAAATAGTAATTGTGTGAAAATTGCAACACGACATGGAATGAGCACTTGGCCATTTTGCTAGTGTAATCAACATGAAGACCAGAAACTTTTTCTAACACGCAGGCAAAATATTCCGTAGTTTCTGAATCTTGACTGCACACTTCGTGATTTTGGCTATGACTTGCAGCACACTTGTAAGATACCACAAATATCTTATGCACATTTCAGTAGCAGAATGGCACTTGGCTTGCTCTAATAGAAACAACAACTGACAATTTTAAGAAAGACAAGGTTCTTATTTGCATGCTGAAAATCTGGTTGTGTCCCCCTAATCCAGGCACATCCATTCATTGTGCAATCTGTCGATGGGTAAACAATAGTGCAGAATTCATCTCAGTATGGTCTGGACCTTTGGTCTAGCCGAAGTCAATTCTGGGTCGATACTGCAGTACCATAGGATAAGACTAAAAATAAAACACAAAGAACACAACAACAAAAACAGACAAGTATAACATGAAGACATAACTCGCATAAAATACAAACAAGATGCAGTTAAATCATACTTTAAGAATAGTTAAAGGCCCTTCTCCAGGACTGTGCATATTATAGTTACCATCAGGTTAACACTGTTCTATACATTTCAATAACATTTAACCTCAAGCCAGTTTTCTAAATGTATAGTGAAAAGCTTTGTATACCAGTTAATTTTGTTAGGCACAAACAATATGCATGCTATATTACTCCTACAAATTATATGCCATATTTTATATATTTTATTGATATATATATATATGCTGGATATTCATAGAAAAAAATCCTCCTCTTATTTCTGTGCAGTGAGTTTGAAGCAAAACAAATACAACATATCTTTATACCTTCACTTATAAAAATACATTATTCTAAGATGTAGCTGGCCCAATTTATAGAACTACAGACCTTCTACCTGCAGTCAGCTCTAGCTAATGGGAGCAGGGAGCACTCATCTCATTTGAAAGTCAGTTCAATCACTTGATTTCATGAAAAAGGCTAAAATTTCCTGACGAGAACCCTTTCAACTTCATTCAGGCAGTTAATTTTGCATAGTAAAATGCAACCGCTACTATTTGGATACATAAATTGGACTGTATTGCAATGGAGAATAGGAAGCATGAGAGAATGGAAGCTCCAGATACTTGCTGCTGGAAATTCTATTTTACATAATGAATAATTTTTAACCTACATTTTCCAGGATGAAAACTTAGATCAGTTTTCATTTAAGTCATATTTTTTCCACTCAACTTCATTGTGTATTCTCTTTAAATGCAAAAATAGGAACAGGCTATTTTGTCAGCAATAGAATGGAGTTAACAGTAGCATGGAATAGCCTCAAGCTTTGCTGGCAGAAGTAACCACAGCTGAGGTACACATTTAAAACAAATGTGCATTTGGAATTATTAAGAGGCTGTATGATGCTATCATTAACTATTAAAACACTACTTTTGTTTTCCTCATTCTTTAAATACCCAAAGCCCTAGGGTGCCTGCTCTGCTATCTTCATGTGCCCCTTTCCAGCTTGCTGGGGCACAGGGTGCCTCAGTGTGGGGGCTTGCCTATCTAGCTGAAAGGCAGCCCCCACAGTCAGCCAGACAGGCAGCCCTCACACTGAGGCACCCTGTGCCCCAGCAAGCTGGGAAGCGGCACATGAAGACAGGAGAGCAGGCACCCTAGGACTGCCTCCTCCCCTGTCTCTGCATTTGTCCTGGCACACCAGTTTGGCAAGCTTTGTGCTGCTTTTTTTTTTTTAAAGGGAGTTTATTTTTTTACTACCAGGAAATCCTGGTAGAAAATTTTCCCCCGCGCTGCAAATTAGCAGCACCACGTGTGGTTTAACATGCAACACATGCGATTTGTGGTGCCGCAAAGAGGTTTTGGCACCATAAACTGTGCGTACCTGCACATCTGGATTCGGCTTAAGTTTCAGCAATATAACCATCTCCAGGTCTCGTGTGCAGTTCTTGTTAGTGTTCAGTGCATTCAAAGGAAAATGCACTGTTTGTAGAGAACAGTATTGATTTGAAACATGAGTCTTAAACCATAGATGAGGTGGCTTCTTTGCTACCATATAGCAGTGGTATCCTGCATAGATACATTTAATTTATTGAGTTTTGTTTGAATATGCATTTATTACATATAAATGAGAACACAGTATTTTTGTCCAAATGCCAAAACTACTTTGAATATTTCTGATCTAGGTATCCGATTTCTCAAAGCTTCATTGTACAAGCCCCACAATAGAAGTGATTTTTCTATTCTTTTCTTTTTTTTGTCTTTTTGGCCTCTGAAGTACACCTGTGACCTGCACTGAGACATCCCATACCCCAGACAGACCCCCAGCAGCACGTGGAGCAGCTGGACAATGTGTCCCACTGCAAAGTGCACAAGCAGGGGTGCTGCATCACAAAAGTAGTGGTACAAATTTGTACAGACTGTCAAAAAGCCCCAGGTGGAATAATTTCAATCTTTGCAGGTTAGTCTAAGCTGCATAAATTGAATCAATAAGTAAGTGAACAGACATTCACTTTTGATTCTGGAAATGCAGCAATATGCCTGCAGTGACCTAAGGCACAAGCCAGAGGGCACTACAGAATGTGTCCCTGCTCAGCTAGAGAAGACAGGTTGGGCCAATGCTAGCTTACCGACCCTGTGAGAAGGGGGTTGCAGGGCAGGTGCAAAGCATTTTGGGATGGTGGGGGACTTGAATCTGGAGGGGATTTGGGACAGAAGTTAATTCAATAAACCGATTTAACTTAAAACAGTTAAGTCTAATACTACATCCATCCAGGTTTATCTTATTTTTCAAAATGGTTTCAGCCATTTTGAAAGCAGTTCATGGCTACTGAACTTTTGTTGTGTTACAGACTTGAACTGGTTTCTGATCAGTTATACTTGTTTATGTGTAATGTGTGTCCCTAGTCATGTCACTCTACTGAATTCAGTACAATTACAAAGAGAAAGTGTAGCAAAATTTCACCTTCTATTGTAACGTAAAAAAATGAGTCCACATCCGAGTAATTTTCAAGAGATACTGGCCAGGGGAAACTGCTGGACTGAAGTTCAGATCCAAATGTGCAGCTTGAAAAGGTCCTTAAAACAGGCCAAATGAGAACACATAAATCTGACCACTGTGTTTAGGCTCCAGATTCTGGACTCTGGGCATGCTATATAATATGGAGACACAATGTTAGACCATCTCTAATTTATAATATAGAAAATGGAACATACTATTTAAGATTTAGTTTTAAGGTCTGAAAGAAATTATAAGAATTGCTATCTTGGAAATGACTAACTCTCCATCCAATATAGCATCTTTTGCTTGCCTATACTTGGTTTTGAATCTTTTAGGAGTACTAATTTAATGCACTGTAATTGGTGCTACTGTGCATTAGTGAAGATGAACACTTCGTCTAATTCACATTAAGTGCCACAACAAAGTCTACTGTGCATTATCAAACTTTGTGTGCGATGCACTAATGCACAGCAAAATTAGTCTAATGCGCATTTAGCATCTCATGTAGATGCACCCATTATGTCCCTAACTAAGCAGTTTATAGGAGAGGGATAAGGCAAGAGTGGGAGAATTCTACTTCTCTGCTGATCAGCTTTGCATGATGATAAATAGCCTATTTAAAAAAATTATAAACCTAGTAATTCCCAAGCGGATTTTATTCATTCAATAAAGTTGCAATAAGTGAATAACCAGAATACTTAGACCTGTGTGTGTCCAAGTTTTGCTCAGGGGAGCTTTGTAATGTGAAAATAAAAAAAAAAAAAAAACCCCTCTGCAACAATATGCGTAAAAGCAGAGGTGTTGACCAAACCTTAGTGACTGTAATATGTTCAGTCGTGAGTGCCTCTTACCTGATAAAAAGTGCCATCCTGTGAGCAGACTTGCGAAGATGAGCAGTTCTGACACCGAAACTGCGAAGGAGATGATTTTCTGATCAGATAAGAGGCATCCACAACTGGACACATACATTTAATCAATCACTTAAATGTTTTTGTTTTAAGTAAGAGATTTAAAATTAATGTATTCTTTTTAAAGCAGGAAAGCATTTTCTACTGGAATAAATGGCTGTTTTTTCTTAGATTACATTTACCTCTTATAAGGCTCTCAAGTGTTCAATCAAAGACCCAGACTGAACAGTATCAAAGACAGAGATGATGCATTTACATGATCTTTATCTAAAGGAATGGGTCATTAGCTAACAACCACTACAGATACTGCAATACAGCTGGGCCTAAAAATCAGATGTGACCAGGGGCAGGGCAAAGCAACCACAGACATTTCTGAAACATTTCATCCAGACTGAAACAGCACCCTAAGACATTGAAACCACAGTAACAGAGATAGTAGTATAAACTGTATCATTTCTATTGGTGTTACTTTGTAGTCTTTGATTAATGAAGAGTAATTGATAATTATTTACTGTTCTGATTATAAAAAAAAAAAACTTTGTGTATAAAGTTGATCCTACATTTTCAAGTTCACAAGTTGGAAAATAAATAGCTTCTTCGCCAAATATATGTCGATCACTATTACGTCCTTGAACTGCTATAAGCCTTATTAAAAAAAAAAATCAAACAGGAGATGAAATAACCAAGGAAAGAACCAAAAAGGCTAGAAGCAAAATTACTAAAACAAAAAACCAAAACATCTGTTCTACAGATAATGTTGTGTAAGGCTCACTCAGTCTTCAGCCTAAAATTCCATGTTTATATGCATCAAGACAAATGTTTTTTTTAGTTAAATGGAAACTGTTTCCAGGTTTAAATGAAGACAGTTCCTTAGGAAAAGGCTAGATTCAGTTTGCAATTCTGGATTCAAACTTCATATGAGGTGCAGAGGTGAAACCTTGAATCAAACCAGCTCTGGTTTTAGGAGTGAAAAATAAAAATCTTCCTAATGTTTCAAAGGAAAGGAGAAAGTGGGTAGTTATATTTATAAAACAGCTGTGTGCAGGAGTCAGCTCAGATTTGACCTTTCCTAAAAGTGTAAGTTAAGTAAATTTGGCTAACTTGCACCTGGAAGAACAAAACATTGTTTTTTAGCTACCTTGTAACTATTTTAAAATTTAAGCTTAGATAATTTCTAGACTAAACTAAAAATTTTCACAATCACTAGTCTATTCCAAATAAATGCAACAGTGCACTGTAAAAAGAACTCATACATCTTAAACATATCCAATCGTACATGGTTTCCTTCCAGGTTACTGCGAGTTGTTTCCTGGTTCTATGGCTCTAGTTGTGATCTTTCCCAGAGCTGGGGACACACTTTCCAGCTCTCTGCTCCCTGCATTGTAACCAAAGGTCTGGAAGCCTCAAGTTGCCACAGGGCCCTTAGGGCTTACAAGTTCCTGCCCTACCTGACCCCCACTCCAGTGGAGCAAACTAGGGAGACCCCTAGGAACTGCAAAACAATGGTGATCTGGGTAACCCAGACAAGGTGGTACTTCCTTACATGAGTTGCGTCTGTCAGCAGCATTCCCTCTTAAGCTGTGTGGTGCGCAGCTGTGCAGGCGCGCTCATGCTGTGCTGCCAGGTGTGCCTGTGTGGCCACACAGCTTAGAGGGAATGCTGCCTGTTAGCTAGCTGCCATAATGATAGAACAGATGACCCTGTGCAACACTCTTAAAGGCCAGTGAGGTTATCTGTTCTGCTGCCCCAAAAAAGAGTACCAATGCAGTGATCTGCTCTTGTATGGTAATGGCTCCATACCAACATACCATATTGTTTAACTGTGATTTTTATGGGAGATTTGTTGAGGGGAAAAGGTCAATTTACAACTGGAAAAATACAGTATCTAATATAGTGATTCTCAACCTTTTTATACTCCAGGCACTCCTTGAAAATGACAGCTCCCAGCTTTCACTTGTTTCTTGACTACAGAAAAATGATAGAGCAATTCTTGTTGCAAAGAATTCAAAGACCACAAAAAGTCTAAATGCTTTTGACACTATGAATTCATATTTGAAATCTGTTCAGCTTATAAATCATGTGTAGGTGCTTGCACTCTTAATGTTGTGCAGCACACTGTCACCCCTGAAAAAACCTTGCACCCTGGTTGAGAATCACTGGTTTAAAACAACAAATAAATGTATTGGACAGATAGTCTGGCATGCCCATCAGTATCCTTCAGAATTTCACTGACATTTTTCAATGAGAGAGAGGGGTAATTTGACTGTAGTCCACTTCATTCGGTTGAGTTTGGTGCCATCCATGAGCAGAGAGATAGTTAGCTGTGTTAGTCTGATGTCAGACAGAAGCCAGGGTAGAGATGCACCTTACAGGCTAACTAAGATGTATAGAAAGCATACATATACAGAAATCTAATGCATTTAAAAAGATTTTTTCTTTGAGTTTCTTTAAGTGAGTGCAAATATGATGGATTTGATGAGAATGGTATTCACTGTTGCTTCCAAAGCAATGCAACTGTCAAGTGACAACGTGTAGACAGGAGCAGGAGTATCAAACACAATGAATGCACTCCAATGTTACTGATGTTGCCTCATTTTTCCTCAATGTTTCTTAAGAGCATAGCCAATACTAATACAAACTCAGAAGGCTAGCCAAGCATGTATCAACTAGATCCAAAAGGCAACATAGTAAAATACTACTTTTCCCACTAGTGGTGCAATACTGTATACTATGAAAACATTTTTAACCTTTAATCCCCGTCTATATTTTATATTTGCATAAAAACAAAGAGACACTTTTGAAAGCCCTCTTTCAGTTTTACCTTAAAATAAGAATTTGAAAATTGTACTATCAGCACTATGCTTAAGCGCTGTCTTCTCTTCCCGTGCCAGGATGCTTTTTACCTTTACTTGAAAACCAAACAAACAATCCAGAGGCCCTAGAATTTACTACAGATGTGCAAGTTAAACTATGGGTGTGTCTACATGAGATGTGTTAATGTGCATTAGCCTCATTTAATGTGTATTACAGGCATGGGTCTACACCTGTGTGCCCTTAATATGCATTACAATGCCAAAATTAGGCTGATAGTTAAAGCTCCTTAACGCATGTGTAGACCCAACCTGACACTAAAGTTAGTGCCGGGTCTGCCCAGCTGCTAGGGGCACGTGGCAGGGCTTCAGGGACTTTAGTGCCAAGTCCTTGCACGTGTAGACACTTGCAAAAAAGTTTGCTTAATGCGCTTTAAATGCAGTCACGTTTAGATGCATGTGTTGATACACTATGACTAGTATTTAACCTTTGTTGCACCCACACGAAGTTTCCATTTTATACCCAAAGGCAACTACTTTGCACATACAAAGCCATATAGGTATATGGCATTCATAAACAAATGAATATATACAAGAAAAAAAATGGACAGTTAATGATGGGCAGAGTTAATGGTAAAGATAAAGCCTAAGGGCTGTTAACTCAAACTGAACATTGTAGCCCGTCAGCTATTCTAAATGTATATATTCAGGGGGAAAAGAATCTGAGCTGTCTTAGCTGGAGACAATTTTTTATATATTAGTTCTATGAGATTCTTAATACAGAATTAAAACAAGTAATGGTGAAAACAATATAAAATGATTTGCCTCAGCTAACTGCCCCAAAATATTGATTGACAAACAGATAGGTAGATACACAGATTTTGAATGCAAAACTGTTAGGCACAAATTCCTACATTATCATTAGTTGAGATCCTAGTATTTTAAACTGAAAGAAAAAAATCCAAGAATAAAATGAATACTTCTATTTTTAGATCAGAATTGAACTTACTCAAACTTTGTATTCCTGCTAAGTTCTATTTCCCCAGCTAGGCAGTACTAGGATTTAAATCACTGGGCATGAAGCCTTGATTTAATCTTTTTTTTTTTTTTTTAAAAACAGAAAAAGTGCATTGTTGTTGTTTGAGATCCTCTATTTTAGTTAACTTCTTGAAACTCTGCACTTTTAGAGAGAGGTAAGGACTTAACTCTGTACACAAACTTGCAGAGAGACAATAGGGCTAACAGGTAGTGTCTGTTACCTCTCATCTCCATATACTGCTGTTAACAGGGATGTTATCTCTGGAGACACAAATCCACAGTTTGAGAACTGAAATTAAGTGTCACAGAGATGCTTAATGAGATCTTCTACACTGAGCATCAAATCCCATTGGTAAGAGTGGTTTTCTGTAATCTTTACTAATCTATAAAGAAGCCTCTGGGAACCCCATAAGATTGGGCTCCTAATATACTCCTGTTGTGACCTATTTATAATACTTTTCTAAAAAGGTTTTATGAATACATTGTCTGAAATAGTATATAATTAGAAGTCATAATCCCTATTCCATGATGATATATTTGAGTTTTAACATACCTTAAATTAAAATTATCTTTATATATAGGGTGTTTTTTTTTAAAAAGCATCTTCACAAAAAAAAAAATCAAAATACAATTAAATACAAAATCTGATTAAAAAATATGTTTTAAAAAAATTGTTGATTTTTATCCAACTTGGGCAGCATCCCTAGTTTAGAGCTTCATTAATTACATTAAGAAGCCAAAGAGGAGTTATCTAGATAGCACATGAGATTAATTTTTAAATACAAATTTTGTAAGGGTCTTCAGATAACTTTTGGACCAAGCCAAGACGACACATATATACCCTGTATGTTCATCCATCTATACACAGGTATACATAAATAATAATTAATGATGCAAAATTCAAAATGTATTTACATTTTCGCCTCTGAGTCTCCATCTTGTCATATAGATGAATTCCATAGTATGATCCTTTCCCATGATTTCTCCATTGCATAGTACATCCAGCTTAAACATAATAAAACAAAGCACTCAATCCAACAGGTAAAGAATGTTAACATTCAAGTGAAATTGTAAGTGAAAATCTCTGAACCAATTAGGTTCATAAAAATACATTCATCAGAAACTGTTAATGTATGTACCATACACTGACTGGTGACCCCAGAAATGGTGAGATGAAAAACATGGAAGGAATCATGACTTGTTCACGGAAAATGTAATGGGGAGGAGGGTCACATAAATACCTAAGATAGATTAATTAGTCTGTAGTTTGGGCTGTTTTTTATAGTACACAAGGAAAATAGCGGATCACCCAGGCAACTACAGAATTGGTACATGTTAGCCAATATCCCTTTCTTCCTAGAAGCTACTGTTGTAATACTTGACAAGTGAGTGTTATTATTAATCATGTATAAAGATGAACAAAAAAGCATACACCTGTATGTCAAAATAACTTGAAAAGATACCTAATTATATGTCCATCGCTCTAAAGTTGAGCAACAAAAATCATAAAAACCATACAGCACCTTGGCTAAGCATCCTTCAGTGAGTATGGCTAAACAGCAAGATTTGGAGCACCATGAATAGGTGCTCAAACTTATCTTGTACCTAACGACTGTGACAAAAAAATCCTAATTTAGCTGAAATTTAAATTTAAGGCAGATTTAATTTTAATAGTGAACTAATACCTTCCAGGTAATTAAAACAAAAATCAAGCTTGGTTCACTTAAACTTACCTCATAAGAACTTGGAAGTTTTAATTTTAAACTGAGAAACTTTTTGATAGTTCCCACAGTCACTCGTGTAGAACAACGGATGAACTTCTTCATTAAACCCTGAAAGAATAAAATTAGAAAAGGGATGTTGGATATTTTGAAGCTATTCACCTTCATCTTTGGTTAGGTAGCATATAAGCAACTTTTGGTACAAAAGCATCTATTAGTATGAGTATGAGCTGCTTTACTGGTGTCCAATTTTAGTGTGTTGCGTTTAACTTATAAACCAGTACAAGAACTAAGATGCATTCTGGCTAACCTTCTTTTAGGGAAATCCCTAAAAATAATGCTTTTCAAGCCAGAGCAAAGCAGCAAAAAGTACAGATCTGTCTGGGCTGGAGATTCATTTTTTGGATACACACTGCAGAGTGAGACACGCATATCTTGCCCTGCTAGTTTAATACAAAAGCTTTTCTGCTACATGAGAGTTTCAAACAAGAAGTGTTATGGGCAAGTATCTACTGACCTACAAAGAAAAGATTCTGTAGTACATGCATAGGGAAGTGTTCTGCTCTTACGCAATTATTTTATAGTCTTTTTTTACCTGTATTTTGATATCATATTTGCTCAGATACAGAAAACCCCTTTCCATCCAAAATCAGCCCCCTAAGGTAAAGCCTCAAATACCTCATGTGCCCAAACTAACCAAAGGCCCTCTATAAAAGCAATTTTAAAAATAAAAGACCATATACATACAGTACAAAGCACTACGTTGTATAGTCACATGCCAAATTCTCTCACGTACAACATGCGCAAAATCAACATCCCAGAATTGGGGTGTATTATGTGGGGTAGCTGATTTTCTGCCCAGGATAGAAGCTCCCTGCTTTGATTCCTAATTACAATGCAGCAGCTGTTGCATTACAATTCAGGCAGCTGAGGACGTCAGTTGACTTAATGGTTGATTGTTCTTCACCCCACAGATATTAACTAGATCATCTCTCTTTCTTAATGATCTTGATGTTCCCATAATCAAGCTAAACTTCCTTTGGACAATTTTTCTATCTGCTAACTGCTCCTGGTCTCTCTCTTCCTATTTCACTGTATTTGAGACCTTAGCTCTTTCTCAAAGCATAGATCTACCCACGGAGACCAGGCTTTAAGTGCAGCTAGGGTTTCTGCTTTACTTAAACAGGAAAGATAGGGCAAGTCAGCTGAAAATTATGAAGCCATATCTCTGGAAAAATCTTTTTTGTATTCATTCTGCCTTTTAAAAACAAGGTGCATATTATATTCAAGAGCATTTCCAGGTAAGAAAATATGGTGATTTAACAGTAAAATCCTAAAGAACTTACCCCCCGGTTGGATACTCTTAGCCTCAGTCTCCCTTTTCTATTTTTCTACAAATAGAAAAATTCACTTACCCCAGGTTACAGAAAACCAGTGTCAGAACCAGGTCAGGTCTGTTCAAACCACCCAGAAGGCACTGCCATAGTTAGACTGCCTTCAGCACCCAAGCTAGCTGGCTTATGGATAACTCTGGTAACTCTGCTGTATACCAGTGTACCTTCAGTTTGTGGGTTAAAATTACTAAATACTTTTTTGTAAGAGTATTAGGAAAATATTTAAGTCAGTTTCTGCTGAGGAAAAATCATAAGAGAATGGGGTATATTAAAATATGCTTTTCACATTGGTTCATTATTGCAATTCTCAATTAATTTGAAACATACTACTATAAGGGCTTACAGAGATGATTAAGCCATAAGTGAGTAAGTTTACGGGCAAGCAACTGGAAATATTCCAAGAAACTCTGAAATGCCTCAACTCACAAAAGGATTCAGTAGTTTGGGAAGTGCAGATGGATGCAGGTTATAAATTCTGCAAAACTCTCCCCTGTAGACATTTACCTTAGATTGTTATGAGACCCCTTGGGCCCCTAATGATAAGACACAGCCAAAAACAATAAACAGCACAAATTCTTTGCAACTCACTTTCACTACGTTATCCCCTGACTGTCCATTGTTACGTAAACAATCCAGGCAAATAGCAATCTGTGGGTCACTCCTATGATAGTCTTTATCTTCCTGATTTTCATCACCATCTTCATCTACTTTGGGCTTATCAGATTTTGGATTTTCATCTGCAACATAAAAATCAGATTATTTATGTATAATATAATTAACAGTCAAATGCAGCATCTGGGACTGAATTCATACACCCCCCCTGAAACTTGAGGCTTACTACTGAAATCATAATTTATTATGCATAAGAAGGATATTCATTTTATAGGGAATGGTTAGGTTAGGGGCTAGTCGTCATTATGGATGATATTTTTATTTGTTTCTTTCCAATAATTAAAAAACCCCAAACAAATCTCTGAATGTATCAGGACTATGTGACTGCACAGCTGCCTTAGGCTTTGTCTTCACTGCCAAAAAAAAGTTCTCTCGTTGCAGGTTTTTTCTTTTAAAACCATCAGTACACTTTAATAAAAGCCTTGTGGATGCTTGAGAAAATTACCATGAGGAAAACTACACAAGGTTGATGCTATACTTCTGTCATTGGTGAACCTCAATTAGGTAAAAATTGTAAGTGCCTTTCATCATAGAGAAGGACAGCTAATACAAGTGGTAACCTATTTTAAGTCTTCTGCTTCTTGCAGTTAAGACATACCATGTATAACCATTTGCTCTTATTGTTACCTTTGCCTTCTGTCACCCCTTCCTTTCATTCATTTATTATACTCTATATTGCATCTTAATTTACATTGAAAAAACTCTTCAGAAAAGGGACCATCTCCTACCATGTAGGTATAAAATGTCAAGTATAGTAGAGCCCCAGTGCTATTTTTGGGGGGTTACTATACTGCATATAATAAAAATCATACAGGAGAGAAAAATTGAGTGTTTTCAACTGGTTTACCTTTTGATAGATCTGGAAGACAGCATACAAGAATTCTAACAAGTATACCTAAGTACTACTTGCTGACTCCCTCTGCTGTGATTCTGTGGATACTAGCAAAATCTGATCACTACAGGCACAATGCACGAAAAAAAGATATTTAGGTAGCTAAGGTGCAGAGCAGTTACCAAAATATGAATAAAAAAGTAGCCAAAAGCACAGTTCTGACTCATAGTAATGCAATAACTGGTGTATGAGATGGCCAAATAACTGAAGTAGATTACTTTTTGACTCATCTGGTACGGTTTTCTTCCACAAACAACTTACACAATTCTGTTCTACTTTAATAAAACCAGCTAACTAAAACTTCAAGCTAACTAAAACTCCAATTACATATGATACTCTACAGCAAACTATTATAATTTTGTCCATATTGTCTTTCAGGCCAGCATTAAAACTATTAGTAGGGGGAAAAAACAAAACTTGCCACTTGTAATGTTTGCCAAATGCAAATAAGAAAAACTAGTGAAAATTAAAACGTTAATTTCAAACTGGAAAGAACATATTACAAACAATGGAGAAGAAAACAAATAATATAAAACAAATACTTGATAAGCCTTCTTTAAAATAAACAATTGTTACTTTGGCTTGGTAAAGCTGTTTTTTTAAAAATGGTTTACATGAGTTAAATATGCTGTGGTATCTAAATGATGAAGCTGAATTAAAGAACACAAAAACCCCTTGGATGGTCTGTATTACTTATCAGCTCAATAAAGAACTTTCAAAGTTCACAGCTCTACTACTGAAAGACAGTCATTCTGGAATCTATATAAAACAGTTGTTTAGCACTTGTGGAAAAACAGTTTTGCTATATGTCATAACTAATTCTTGACAACCTCCTACTAAACAGCTGGTCAAATTTGATAACAGAAAATAATCTGAACATAAAGACTCAAGTAGTTCTGTGTCACTGCATGGTGGATTATAACTAGGATCAAAGTAGAAAATATCAAGTAGTGTGAAAGATATTAAGAATTCAGAGTGGAAAATGGTATGAATGTTAAGCATGAAGGTACTTGGTAATTCAGTTGAAAATATTACTAAAATCATTATTGCTGTTCAACTGTTGAACAGACAAGTTGAACCACAGCTCTCATTCTGCAAAAGCTTAATTTTATGTACCTCTATAGAGCCACTAAATTCAATGCAACTATGCCAATGTAGAAATAAGCACAGGATTGGGGTCAGTCAGGAAAGCCATTCTCTAACACAGGTTTGGCCAACTGGTAGCCCATGAAGGGTCAAGCTGTGGTCCCCAAGCTTTTGCCTGGCTGCTGCTTTCCCCCAGTGCTCTGGCTGCAACAACAGCTAGTCTCCAGGCTCCACCTCTGTCCATGAGCTTTTACTGCTTGCCTTTGCCCCTGCTCCTACCTCTGTACAGCGCGCAGTGGGCAAGGGGAACCCGTGTGGTACCCCAGAGGGTGGTGCCGCCCAGGGTTCCTATGGCTCATGCTGGGATTGGCCTAAGGGTGTGCTGTCTTGCTGATGCAGCTTGCAGGGCACATTTGGTTATAGTTGGACACCCTGACTTAACAGATACAATACAGAATGTATTGGGGGGGGCAGGAGGGAGAAGGAAGGGCAGAAATCACCTTGTCCATTTTCTTGAGGTTTGTTTTTCCTCCAAAATTCGATCTCACGCTGTAGTTCCTCTAGTAAGCATCAAACAAAAGCAGTGTGATTTTTCAGCAATATAGAAATATCACTAGAAATTAATTTCTAATACAAAAAGGTATAATACTGAATCAGAAACTTACGTTCTCGAAGTCCAGGCACCAGTTTGAATATAATTTCTTCTAATGTGTTATCTAGCCTTTCATAGGAAAAAAAAATTATTTCAAATAAAGAAAAGAAAAGAACATATACAAACAAAAAAGATAGTTGAACATTAAAAGTAATTATATGACAATACTCTGGTAAGTAATACATCATTCACAATCCTATAGATTTTAGCGTGGAAAGGAAGAGTGGAAAGTATTCACATTTATCTCCCTTCAGCCATTCCTGGAACATACTTGTTTTAGACTAGGATATAGTAACAGCAGATATCAGAATTAAAAACAGAGAGGAAAAAAGGAGGAAAGAAAAGTGAAAAAATTAATCTGTATAAAATATTAATTGTAGTATTCAAATTTTTGCCACAAGCAAATCATCGTGTAAAGCAGTTTCCCTAATATTTGAAACAAAAATTAGAAAAATAATAAAATACGGTCAAACAAACCAATTTGAAGATGCTGACCTGTGTACTATATATAGCAAACTTTAAACAACCACTGACCATACTATTTCCCTGTAAATTTCCCATTAAGACTTTTTACCCCATGGGCTAAAAAAAAGCAACAGCATAAAGTATTATAATAAGCATTCTTAAAATTCCCATGACCACAGTAGCTAGGTACCATAAAATACACCAATAGTACTCTAGCTCAAAAGGAAAAAATTAACCCTAAGGAAAATTGTCAGAGGATTAATTTACAGTAGACACACAGACAAATGTTATGTTTAATTAAGTTATGGTTATGGCGCATAATAAAAGGAAGGCTGCTTAGAGATAAAGCTCCCTCAAATATATTTTCATTTTTGCATGTGTAAACAGACTACAATAACTGAACCGTGTACTGAAGTTGTTTGCTCAAATATCTATGAAAAAAGAGAAAATGCTTTTGCTATCACTTCCAGCAGTACAGCTAGCAATTTAGTATCTATCACAGTATTTTCATATAGCAACAAAAGCCATTTATCTAGAACAATCCCACCTACACTGATATGACAAACAGATAATCTGAATATTATAAAGTATATTTGTACTATGGGACTGGAAATTGTAGACTATTTAAAAAAATAATGTAACAGTTCCATAATACATTATTCTATTTTGATTAGAAGAGTAAATCCATGGGACCAACTAAATGGTAATATAAAGTGAGGTGCAGATAGATGTAAATGACAGTGTGGCATAGCTTGCACTGATATGCAAGCATTTACAGCCTGGATTTGGATATTCACTAAGCTAAATCCTTGGCTTCTTTTCTGGTTGCTTTGCTATATACACTCATTTGGAACTCGGCCAGGCCAGGATCAAACAGAATGGTGGCCTGGAGCCCTCACTCAGCTTCTCCTTAGCTACAGTAAGGTATACTCCACACAGCTGAGGGAAGCCACCAGGTGTCAAATCAATGCAGGTTAGGCTACTTTATCACTTAACAGTGATAGTTACACCCAACTACTTAATTTATATCATCTAGAGATATCTGTAACCTTGGCACCTCCTTTGACCAGATTTAAATTGTCAGCAGATTCTATTCCCAGTTTTTAGCATCTCCAGGTCAGATGCAGCCTCAGAGAAAAACTATATACTGCATTTCAGGTTAGGGACTTACACACACAGGCATTCAGGATATGTCTTCACTACAGCTTACCATATACTGTGTAGACACTCAGGCCAATGTTAAATGAGCTGGCTCAGATACCAGATGTGATTCTCACAATGCAACTGGATGTAATAAACCGATGCATTGCTGCTAACTTGGTTCTCCTAAGGGCAGTTCAGTTCCACACCAAGATATTAGACATTACCAACTCAAAATGTCAGGCTAGCAAAATAAGCTGTTTGAAATATCATACAAGATGGCATCTTCTAAGAACCCTTAATTTATAATTATTTTCTTTTTTAAAGTACACCTAATTTGGTACTATAAATTCATCAGAAAAAGAAAACTGAGGGACTCAACTTCAGTCTAAGATTGTGTGCGCAAACTTGCAGTAAAAAATTACTTACAAGTATCTCATAAAGTGCATAGCTGCTCACTACACCTCTTGCTCATGAGGGATGAAAAGTTAGACAGGAAGAAGACAGAAATGATTTACTGTTGGTGAATGGATAAAGCCTATTTCAATAGGGAATACTTCTTGCAACTAATATAAAAGAAAATCTGGAATTCTTATAACAAAATCTATTTCTAATTAAAAAGATCAAATTCTGTCATCAAAGCATCTTGGTCCGAAACCACTATTCAACCTTTTGTACTACGGTCCTGAATTATCATGTTATGTTATGAAGACAGCTTTGCCACAGCATTTTTCATATTCAGTGCCTCAATAGATTTCTTCTGGGTCTGATTCAATGAGAAGTAAAGAAATAGTAAGTCTCCAGAATCTCACATAAACCACTCTAAGTTGTAAAAGAAACTCAGAGAGTTGGAGGGAAAACAAAAGTCCCAGCAAGTTGAAACACCCTGTTTTGAAAGTTGTCCTCAGAAGCCTGTTAGCCCAGGCCAAATAACACCAAAGGTCCTTTTACTGCCTCAAGACTGAAGGCTCGGTTCAATTAGTAAGCACTGTTTCTCCTAAGGTACCAAGCTTAGTTGTGTTGGGAAAGGGTATCATCACTTGGGGTTTCCAAAGACTGACCACCACACTCAATTTTACTTGCACCTTCGTCTGAAAACAAATGAGCTCCTAATTCTTCAGAATGGCATACAAACCCAGAACACATTCCCCTTCCCCCATTTTAATACTCTGCCCTTACTTATAGATGTGAACTCCTTGCCTGGTGCTGTTTATCTTGGGGCTAAAGAAATTGTCAGTGCTGCTTAAACTGCAAGAAAACCATCATACTTTGTAAGTTTATGATGTTGGCATGAAAAGCTAGCTTCCTTGTCTATAATTATCTTTACTTTTCAAGTAAGTAAACAAAACAAATAGAGCCACTTGACATTTGTTATGTAAACGGCATTAATGTTAATCAGACTGACAGTCAAAAAATGCTAGAAAAAGTAACTACATTCTGACTTTTGCCTGTAGCAAACGACATGAACCCCCTCCCCCTCCCAGAAACCTATAGAAATTTTTTTTTCAGGTCATTTTTCAGGTATTATTTACAATATTACTGTCATAAGAAGGCTTTGAAAAGCAATGAAAATTTGTCTTTTGTAGCGTACCAAACATCCTAAAATGAAATTATTTTAGGAAACTCCAAGTCATCTTTTTTGTCATTTGGTACTTCCAGTAAAAGCTGAACCAAGACTATATAAAGTTAACTGTAGTTCTCCACCCCACCCTTGTCCAAAAGTTCTCTGAAATAGAACACAATATAAAATAAAACAAGGTAAATATCAGCTTTTTTTTTTATATCTCAGATTTCTATTTTACCCAAGCAAACAACCCTTCGTTATGAAATATTCTGTAATGTGACAAATTCAAGTATCATTAGTGTTCACTGGCATACACAGAACAAGCTGGCAGAAGAAAGTGATTCAGTATTCATGACGCACCCTACTGATTTCTGGCACATAACTTTGTATAGGTTGTGAATACAGGACAGGGCCCATAGTAATTCTAAGAATTCAACAGCTCCCATGTTATAGATGGACACAGGATTTCAATCAACTTTACAGGACTTAAAATCCCTGTATAATTAATATGTAGGACACCAATAACTCAGAAATATCTGTATTTCAAAGATCTTGTAAGATCAAATTTGTAACAATATAAAATCAATTAATAGAAATCAATATAAATCAATTCATACAAAAGTATAGCTGGAAAGGACCTTCACAAGGCATCTAGTCCAAACCTCTGCCTGATCATCCCTATCCAAACCAGCCTACACAAATCCATTGTCTAACTTATTAGTAGAACTACACTGTCAACTCTGACATCCACAAGGCACAGCACCCTAACCACCACAGGCAAAGCAGGGGGAAAACAGTGGCCAATGTCCTGATGCTGTGAGGGTTGTTAAAATGTGCTCAGAAGTTCCAAGGGAGAGGGCCATGTCTCCTGATACAGGAGGCAAAAATGCTCAGTCTGTACCAATCTGACCACAGGGTAAAATTCCTTTCTGAACCCAAATATGGTGATCAATCTGACCCGAGCAGAGAGGCAAGAACCTACAGTCAGGAACCTCTGGGCTTAAGTCCCAACAAGTGCAATGGCACACCTCAAATCCCAAATTTGACAGTAGTCACACCCAATGCTTCTGAGGGAGATGACTCCTCCACAGCTTGTATAGCAACAGGAGCGGGAAAATATCCCTCCCAACTCCACGTGGAAACCAGCAAAGCCCAGAAGCACAGAAAATACCTACAGTAGAACACAGATATAGCAATTCTTAAGATCATTCTTGATCAATGCTTGTCCATCCTCTTCTTGACCACTTCCAGTGATGGATATTCCACAACTTCTGAATAGATAATCTCACCGCCTTACTGTTCTAATAGTGAAGTTTTTCCTGATATTCAGTCTAAATTTATTTTGTTGCAATTTCAAGTCACTGGTCTGCATCCCACTGCAGCAGGAGTGAAAAAGTATTTTCTCTCTTATTTGTGACAATCCATCAGATATTTGAAGATGTCACGGTCTTGAATACATTACTACCAAGGGCTCTAACATTTCCTCTGCCATTTCCCTCAGTATCATCAAAACTTTTTTTGCTCATGGTGCATACATTATAGGCCTATTTGCTTTAAGTTAAAAATATATATGCAGTACTTACTGCCATATCACATGTAATTATTTCATTTTTAGGATATACGATGGGCTTTCAGAAAAGTCAGAATAAATTATGTACATTAAGCCATGCTGTTAACATCAGAAAAGGGATAACACTATTCACTCATTCTTCTTATTTTATAAGTTTAACCTTTTAAAATATTTTAGAATACATAAATAGTCTAATAAATGATTGGTTTTATCCAGTCTTTTAGCAGAATAAACCTAGTTACCATAAAAGAGATATCAGGAAGTTTCCAGAGAAAGTGTCTCTTTCTGCACTTCTGGCAAAGCTTTTCTCACCCTGGTTAGAGCCCATAATGATTTTACAAATGCAGACCGCTATGTAAATCAGAAAACGCGTCTTCTGCAGAAGTGAAACTGACATAAATTAATTGTGAACAGTATATACTATATATTGTCTTCTGGGTGGACAATCACAATGTAAAACAACTATAAAACATTCTTTCTTTATAGATAGATGGACAGATAGATAAAGAAAGCCTTCTACAAAAGGTATATTCCCCCACAAGACTGGAAAGATCGTTCTTAAGACATTGTCTAACAAAACTGGTTAGAGGAAATTAAACTGCATCTTCCTCATTTGCCTTTCTAGTAAGTAATTTAAGCATGTCATTCTCCCACAAACTGTTCTACACACTCAAACATCTTACCACAAAGCCAAGGAGATCTGTAGATACCACAAGGGAATTAACAAATAAACTCAACTCAGACAAGACCAATGCCTGATCATTTGTTCATATACTGACATCAAAAGGACATTTTTTTTCAATTTTGTTCATTACTCTACTGGTAGAATAGCTTACAAAATAACACCTCAGAAAACAATAACAGCATATAAAAAAAACCTCTTTTTTTTTTTTTTATCCGTATGCAAGGCAAAGGATAGAGGAAAAAAAGATTATAGTCCACCATGCTTCCTCAAAAGATGAACACTCATATCAAACTGTTTTTGTTCAGCATGGATCAGGCACCTATTATAGCTTGCCTTAGCTTAGATGATATAAATTCAATTACCAGTTTCATTACTGAAACAAATAAAGGAGATATCCCACATTCTCTCAATTAAGGGTTACAGTGGACTATCGTGTTTGGCATCTCAACCCACCTATAGGATTCTATACTTATCTTTTGGCTTCTTGCAATAGTAAATACTTTACAATGTGGAAAATCAGTTATAGACATAAATGTGAACATTTTCCAGAAGTAGCCTCCTCAGTCTCCAAGAGCTACAACCAGTGACTAACGAAGACTGTTCAGTGGAGATGTTGAGATAGATATTATAGATATGGAAATGTTTTATGCCTCCGACTTCAATTTATTTTCATCCCTTGCTAATTCACAAAATTCTATTAAAACAAATATTTCTCTTAAGACACTAGATTCTTCTGAGAGAATCTTCGTTTTTAAATAAAGGCAGTAATTACCTTATTTATAAAATAGAAATCAAGAAACATGTCACTAGGAATGGAGGAACTCATTTTTCCTGTAACTTGTGAAGATCCCATTTATGGGACATCATAATTTGCCAGGTTTGCTATTCCTATTTCATAAAATATTAACAGTGAAATCCTTCAGGATGAAGAGCACTGTGCGCGCCTTGTACTAAAAGGGGATTTCCAACTAGGTGAGGTCTAAGAACTTGAATGAATCAAAATTATATAGCTGATTAATCAAACTTTAATGGTGTTGTAGCCCAGTGGGACATATAAAGTTTAATGCCAGTTAATTTACTAACCTAGATCAAATAATCATCTGCATAGGTAAACATACTATATGCAATCCCTGTTGAACCAGTTAACTGGAAAAGGGAAACTCTTTGGAAATCTGCTCCAAGGTTGTAAGAAACAGAGATAACAGACTTAAAATACAGCCACAGAAATGGCAGTTTCTGAAATGCTTTTCAGGGAATACATCAAGTTTGTACCACTACTCTTTTCCTAGTTACAATATAAACTTATTTCTAACATGGATGATCAAAAGTCTTTCTCCTTTTAAATTATCCTAATCTATATAGCGGTCTGTTAAGATAACAAGTTTCACTTTTCTGCTCAAACTTCTGAAGACAGGAAAGAAATACAAAAGATGAAAGGGGGAGCTTTCTTGAAGGGTTAGGGTTAAGTTTTTAGCTAATTTGCTGATGCTGGTTGTATAGTACTGTTCTGCTGTACTTTAGCCATAGTTGGGTATTCAGTTCATTTTTATTTTATTTTTTTTAAAATTAAGGATATCAAGTACTTACACAAAAGAGTTTTTTTAGCATTTGTATATAGATACATAAAATGAAATTTCCTCAGAATAAAAACTGTATTGAGGAATTTTTAAAAAGCACCATTCCATATATTTAATCAAACTTTGTTTCATACCATCTTACCTTAACATTTCTAATGGATTGGTCTCGTGCACCTGATTGCCACATCTGGGGCAATCATTACTGTCTTCAAAGTGCTGAACAATACAAGTCTTACAAACTGTACAAAGCAAAAATAAACAGTGTTAGGCAAAATGCGAACAATGCAGCGCTTCTAGATCAAGAAAATATTATTGTTCACAAATGACTTACTCTAAAAAAAAAAACCAACCAGACAAAAACAAAACAAAACAAAACAGGCCAGTGTTAACTAGATAATGTAGCAAAAACTAGAGAGGTAACAGAAAATGTACTGTTTTGTACTGTCCTGTTCCCCAAAGTCATGACTAGCTCTGCTTAGTGATGATATTATTGTATTGAGTCAATCAAAACAGGTTAAGCAAGTTTTAGTTCTCATTTTAATTCTTGTTGTTGTTTGTTAATCCTCACAACATTACAGAATGCATAATCACACCACTTCGTTCTTAATCAAAGTCCGAGACAGAGTGTACTAAAAACTACAGCAGAGCAGGAGCCGACTGAAATTTTAAATCTGTTTTTGAAAATTCTAGAATTCTCAAAAATCCAACACTTATTAAAAATACACTACATCGGGGAGTAGCGGTGGCTGGTCCCAGAACAGCGGCTGCATGTGGTGCAGCAGTGCAAGGCTGGTGGATGCAGCTGCCGGGTACAAGTTTCCCCCTCCGTGTCCGGGGTGGTGGGGAGGGAAGGGTAGTGGCAGGCAGCTGCAAAGCAGCAGCCACACATGGTTTAAAAAATCTGAAATTTTCAAGTTTCCAGCAGGTGCTAGGTCCCAAAGATGCCAGATTTATGAGGTTATACTGTATCTTTGCTCTTTTAGAAAGTATTAGATAAAATTAAATATATAACAAGAGTCCCAAAGGTAGAAGCAAGTTATGTTTCTACTAAGATGCAAGGCCTTCAACATTAGTGATGTCAGGACTGATGAACATTAATAAATGAATCTTAATATCCAGAACAGATTCATTGATACTGCATTAAAAACCGAACAATGTCATTTAATCCTATAAACTGTTACTAAACCAAGCAAAGTATTGCAACATGGTTTCTTCCAAACACAATTAATTACAGACTTTACTGCCATTAATACTAAAAATGAAACAAAACTTGTTAATACCCGATAGGTTGGTTCTTACATATGTCATTTTTCACCTACACTGAAACAATTGCAAATACTTTAATAAATGGACATAAAAAGTGTTGGCAATTCTAGTACAGCTTCTGCTGATATAACTTAAAAGTTTGTCCATCAATTATTCAAAGAGCCAAGACCACTTCTAAAACAAATTGCTAAAAACTATGGACAGAGATTTCTGAGGAACTCCTAAAATCTTCACAAAAATAAAAAGTCAAACATTTAATAATTTGGGCAGCCAGTACAACAGGCCAACTGGATATTCAGGAAAGTTAAAGCAAATTAACTAAAGTTGTGAAGTTAGTGCACATACATTAACATGTATTAAACCTGTATGTGAACACTGTAACTGGGATTCAGTGCACTTTAACTTGTTTACATTAACTTGATAGCTTTAGCTCAGCAGCCAGAAACATTTCAGAGCTGTGGGTGGGAACCAGCTGGATAGGGTCCAAAATGGGTTGGCGCTCCAACCTAATTGCCACCATTGCTTCTTCTTGGTCCCTTGCTATATTGATAGAACATAGAAGTGTTATGAAATTAGAGATCCACATCTGTACACTAGCTGATGATCATATTTTCTTTCCAGATACATTTAGCAATTTAGTTCTGTTAGCAGCATTTTATAGAAATGTTGTATAGTCATGACAGTGACTGAAGTACAAGTGAGAGAACAAGGAGGTGCCAGCAGCCAATACCATTAACTAAGCTTGCATCTTCTGATAATGTAGTGCCACAGATCTTGGCAAGTTCTAACACTTTACTGATAGGTGTTACTATTCTATGTGGTAATGAAAAAAGATGCATATCTAATAATCTGTATTTTTTTACTGACTTTTCCTACTGGGATGTGTGAATTCTCAGCCATTTTTCTGAAAAGTTCTGGAAAGCTTTTATAATAATCAAATGATAACAATGAAGCCAGTTACTTTATCGGGAGAAGATTGAGATACAGCTGCTGAAGGAAGATTGGTTAGAGCATGTTGCTTTTCTTCTAAAGTAAACTGTTGGTAATGTTGAGGAGAATGCTGAGGCTGAAGATTTCTGAGGTCTATAAGATCCAATGGATGCACAGATCTCAATTCAGCACATCTGAAAGAACAGGGCATTTAATGTGATGATAATGCCATGGAATCCAGCACAACCATTAGCAGCATCTACATGAAAATTACATTGAAGGCTATATACGGGATGTTTTCTGTCTGTTCAGTCTTTCTGCCCGACAGCAATATCCGAGCTGAATTTCTGGTGAAAAGCAGGGTGTTAAGTGAATGATGATCTTTGTCTGTCAACTTTGAAGGCAGATGAAAATGATGAACAAGAATATTTTTTCACAAATGCAGAAGCTGCTCTGAGGAGCTCCTGTTTCTACATGAACATAGGTATGACAAAAGTAGTAAAGATGTTTTAAAAGCTGTCTTACCAGAAACTAAGGATGGACATAACATCTAACTGAAAAATGGCTTTTCTTAAGCAAATAGGACAACGACCACTGTAAATTTCATTGGGAATAATGCAGACCCTTGTGTTGAGTTTGGCATTCTTTTGCCTTGCATTACAGTAGCTTAAGTAGGCCTTTGGGTGTATTAAGCAAGGCCAAATGAGCATAATTTTTTCAGAAAAGACTAGCCAGTCTTAAGACATCAAATCTTAATTAAGGGTTCAGGTCAGTGTTTGTAACTCAACCAGCAGGATGACACAATTACATTTCCTTTCCGACCAAATATGTCAAAATTTTTTCATCAAGTCATGCTATAAGCCTTCGTTTCAGGAAAGGGATAAAAAAGGGGGCTCAGTGCTCTGAGATGAGTTCCTCTGTCATCCTTTGCCAATATTCCTGTCTGCAGGCATAACAAAGACCCAGCACCCCTTGGAAATTACTCTCTCAATTTGGGTAAGACTCCCTTACCTGGCTGGCCACAAGTTACAAAAAACGTAGAATTTTAAGACGCATAGATTCTAAGTTGTAAAAGCTTGCTTATTTCTGCTTGAATCATAAAAGTATATCCAGATGTATGCTGTGCTGTTCTTTATTTTCATAGATTTCATAGACATTCGGGCTGGAAGGGACCCCGGAGGATTAAGTCCAGCCCCCTGCCCCATGGGCAGGAAGTCAGCAGGGATCATAGAATACTAGCAAGATAAACATCCAAATGTGTCTTGAAGGCATTCAAAGTGGGTGCTTGAACTACCTTCAGCGGCAGTCTGTTCCAAACCTTGGGGGCGTGGACAGTAAAGAAGTTCTTCCTTATGTCCAGCCTGAATCAGTTGCAGTGAAGTTTGTGACTGTTAGATCTTGTCATCCCTTGGGGTGCTCTGGGGAACAGACGTTCCCCCAAATCCTGGTGAACAACCCCGACAAACTTGTAGGTGGCCACCAGATCGCCCGAGCCTGCGATTTTCCAGGCTGAAGAGTCCCATGGCTCTCAGCCTCTTACCATAAGGTCTGTTTTCCTGACCTCTGATCATACGTGTGGCTCCCCTCTACACTCTCTCAAGCTTCTCCACATCCTTTTTGAATTCTAGAGCCCAAAACTGGATGCAGTACTCCAGCTGTGGCCTCACCAAGGCCGAGTACAAGGGGAGAATGACATCCTGGGATTTGCTTGAGAAGCATCTATGGATGCAAGCCAACGTTTTGCTCGCTTTACTAGCTGCAGCATCACATTGAAGGTTCATGTTCATCTTGTGGTCAATCATGACCCCCAAGTCCCTTTCATATGTAGTGCTGACCCGTGTATCACTGCCGAGCCTATAAGCATGCTGCAGGTTTTTCCTCCCAAGGTGGAGAATCTTGAATTTTTTGGTGTTAAACACCACCAGGTTCTCATTGGCCAATCTCATGAGCCTGTCAAGATCTTGCTAAACGGGTACTTCGTGTCATTTTTTTCACCAGTCCCATGGGACACCCCTGGCCACTGTGGGTCAGGGATGCCCAGGTGAAGGAGATTCCTTACCCTCCATCAGTGCTCACCTTGTGAAGGAACACCTTGACAGGTTAGAGATCTTCAAGACAGCTGGCCCCGATGGTTTACACCCAAGGGTACTCAAGGAGCTGGCTAGCATCATAGCTCAGTCCCTGGCACGGATCTTTGAGAACTCTTGGTGCTCTGGTGCAGTGCCCGATGATTGGAAGAAAGCCAAAGTAGTGCCTATCTTGAAAAAAGGGAGGAAAGTAGATTCCACAAACTACAGGCCCATCAGCCTGACCTCTATCCTGGGGAAGGTCTTGGAAAAGATTATCAAAGAGGCCATCCTTAACAGACTAGCTGAAGGCAATATCCTGAGGGATACCCAGCATGGGCTTGTTGCGGGTAGGTCTTGCTTGACCTATCTCATTTCCTTTTACGACCAGGTGACCTATCACCTGGACAAGGGGGAAGAGATTGATGTCGTACATCTTGACTTTAAAAAAGCCTCTGATCTGGTATCCCATGATCACCTCTTGGCAAAACTGGCCAATTGTGACCTTGGGTCCACCACGATCCGCTGGCTGGGAAGTTGGCTCCGCGGTCAGACCCAGAGGGTGGTGGTTTATGGAAGTCAATCATCATGGTGCCCTGTGACCAGTGGGGTCCCACAAGGCTCTGTCCTTGGACCTATATTGTTCAACATCTTCATTAATGATGTGGACATTGGAGTCAGAAGTGGACTGGCCAAGTTTGCCAACACCACCAAACTTTGGAATAAAGCATCCACACCTGAGGACAGGAGGGCGATCCAGACTGACCTTGACAGGCTTAGGAAATGGGCGGACGAGAACCTGATGATGTTTAACACCGAAAAATGCAAGGTTCTTCACCTTGGGAAGAAAAACCTGCAGCATGCTTATAGGCTTGGCAGTGCTACGCTGGCTAGTACTACAGATGAGAGGGACTTGGGGGTCATGATTGACCACAAGATGAACATGAGCCTTCAATGTGATGTTGCGGCTAGTAAAC